GGGTGTCATGGTACGTAACAAGCGACAATTCCGACAAATACAAGAAAGAGACCTAGCCTTGACACTAACCATAACCCTAACACAATCTCTAAACCTTAACCCTAACCCTCTATCTGGATTTAGATCTAGATCTAGATCTAGATCTAGATCTATTTCAAAATGGTCTTTCGTTCGGAATTCCTCCCAAAAATATTATACTGAAAGCCACTAAAAACGCACTATTTAAAAAATAAGGCTATAAGAAAGCTAAATAATCTGATCGCTACGGTCTTTGGAAACACAGGTGAGTAATTTAAGTTTACAAACCCAAGCATGATCTTTACTCCAACAAACAAAAAAATCCTGCTTTAAACAGCGTTAATCATGCCAATAATAAACTTTAATAAGCTTCTGCTTACTCGGATCTTAATGATCGCAACTGCATAAGGTCATATGAGCGCACGGGACACACCAAACATTTTCAGTAGGCAGGAAATTTTAAATTTTGCCCAGGTGGAGGTCGAAGCCTACTCTTATCTATTTTGAACCCAAAAAGGATCTTTGACATGCACAATTTGCACACGGGGCCTCCGAGATATTTGGCCCTTGTCCGAGAAGGCTAGGTGTAGATCTTACCTACCAAAGATCAGGGGTGTGGCTGAACGACAGAAGTAAGAAGGAGTCAACGAGAAGCAGTAGGAAGGCTGCAGAAGGAGTCAGGAACCCAGAGTAGGGGGAAAAGAAGGTGAAGGGTGGGGGCAGAAAGTGGAGACGAAAGAAGACGAGAGAACATTGCTAGAGAGCAGGAAAGGATGTGAAAGGAGATAATTCTCGAGAAGAAAGTGTTTCCGTCGCTACCGGGATTCGAACCCGGGACTTTTGAATGAGAGGCGGACATTTTAACTTCTAGGCCATGATAGCCCCCGGGGGATTGATTGGGACAAAAAACACAAACAGATAGAAAAGTTAAGGGGAATGTCTACTTGTCTACAGGCTAGTTAAATATTAATAATAGTAATAATAATAATAATAATAATAATAATAATAATAATAATAATAATAATAATAATGATAATAATAATAATAGTAATGATGATAATAACAATTAATAATAATAATACAAATAATAATTGTAATGAAAGTGATAATAATAATAACAATGATAATAGTAACAATGATAATGATAATAATAATAATAGATCTAATAAGAAGAAGAAGAAGAAAAAGAAGAAGAAGAAAAAGAAGAAGAAGAAGCATATCCCTCCAGTCTCATTCAAACACCCCTCCAGCCACAAAGATAACGGAATATAACTGTAACGCTTATTCGAGCAGTTTGCTACCAATGTCATACCTGGGCAGAACATAAAACCCGTGAACGCAAATTTACTGCATGCTAGATCAATATTTTGTTGGAGTATTGTTGGAGTAAAGAGAAGCACATAGACACAAAATGATTAATATTTGATGTCTCTGCAAAACCCTAAACACCACAAGAAGAAAGAGGCAGAGAATAAAAGATGTAAGTTATTTTGTAAGAGTAAATGTTTGCATTGTGTCCGGCCTGCATTTCTCAGAAAAACAACGAATTTATTCATGTTTTGGCCCCCTGTTGTTACTAACGCTACCTTGTCAGCCAGCCTCTAGGGCCATTACGTTCTAGGGCAACAAAGGAAAAGGCAAACCGGTAGGTCGCTCCGTTAACTCAGTTGGTATCATGCTGGGCTACCGAGTGCATGGCACTGGTTCGAATCCCAGGCTGGGCGTTCTTGAATGGAAGTTAGTCTAGATCATTTTCAAGGCTCTCAGTCCAGTTGGCTCGGTCCTTTGGGAATTTGGAGGTCCTTACTCTGTAAAAACAAAAGCAAAGCAACCAATAGTGTTGATAGGGGCGTTAAACCAATACACTTCCCTACCAGATGTTAACACATGAAAAATGGATTGAAGGAGCCAAGGGAACCTCGGGAAACGACAATATCCCAAGTGCAGGAGATGCAGGGTTAACCCTCTATAGACAACTGCATCCATCTCAACGTTCATCGGCAACAGAGGATGAATAAGTAAAAAGTATTAAAGTCTAGCAGGAAACAAGTTTTAGTAATGGTTTCACGGCGCTTGCGACACAATGATGCCTTGTAAATTGTAAGTTCCGAACATTAGAGGTGTCACAAGAGACTAACAAACATTTTTAAAAAACTGAAGGAGGAGAGATAAGGACGATAGATGTTTGATTCTAAATAAGGAGCAAACCATACCAGAGCACCCACTAACCACCCACAGACAATAGATTTAGTCAGCTTAATATGTTATAATGCATGGCATTTATCTGAAGAGTGTGACCTATAATTTACAATGCTTGATGCGCTTTACAAACAATACATCTTTAATAGCCTGCAATGGCATACAAATCTAGATCTATTGCAGCATTTACGCTCAAGAGCGTTTATGTACAAAAGATGCAAAAATATTGTGTCATATAAAAGGTATGTTACGGAACAACATGTCTTTATAATCAGTAGCCTTGTTGCAATTTAACGTACGTTACAATAACAGTTTTTCTTCTGAACAAACCCCATATTTCGTGCACCCCCCCTCACCCCCCGCCCCCAATCCTTTTCAACTGCAGACAGGCTACTGTTCTCACAAAAAACGTGATTTTCGACTTTTACGTTGCACAATAGAATACATTACAATCCCAACTCAGTAAACGTACTGTCGGAGTCAGAAGCAACATGCCTCCGCTATTGACCACGTGTGTTTTTCTAATGCTCGGAGCCTCAACGGCCTTTCCAAATAATAATTATGTGGACTGTTTTAAGTCTGGACGTAAGTACTAGATCTACATGTAATTTTTGTTTGGTCTGGTGACCTGTTTTTATGGATGCCAGATGTTAGTTAATTAAGTCTTGGGCTTCCATAACGAGCGACCCCCC